TGTTTGCCGTGATGCAACAGTTCCAGTGGCGGCTGCAAGCTCTGAACTTAATTGGCGAGCAGTAGCCTTTCTGTTACGACGGGCAGTTAATGCCAGATACCGATCTTCAGAAGCAGTTGTCATTCGTTTCCGATCTTGTTCAGGCCTCCTTACAACACTTCCATCATTTTGAAACTGTTTCCATAGCTTAGAGACTGTCTGTCTTGAAATATTCAGACATGTGACTGTTTCCATGATTGACTGCCCTGCTTCTAAATGGCCGATAATTCGCCACTTTACAGATTCTTCCAAATGATACTTCGAAGCCATAACAAACCGCTTTGAGTCCCTACATACTGAAATCAAACGCTATGTTGCAGAAATTCACTCAAATATTCAGTTTGCGCAAAGCGCTTGATTCACCCTTGGATGACGTAACGCCTAGATTTGCATATCAAAACCACTTTTGATTGGATAATGAATAGGCTTGAGTTTGATTCGCTATCTATTGTACAGATATATATATATATATATATATATATATAATATATATAATTTATTTCCTAAACAATATTGATTAATTGATTATATTATCTCCTAAGTTTAATTAAAGTAGAATTATTTTAAAAGAGTGAATCCATACTGGTAAGTTATATTTTGAAAGATGTGTATATACATATATATATATACAGTACAAAGTCCGAGATCCGGACATCCAATATCTGGAATGATCTAAAATCCGGACCTCAAAGCCACCATCAACCAATTTTTTAGGGCTTTTTTGAAGGGAAGGGGTATGCTTTACGCATGCGCATTAGATTTTTTTCCTCATCATAAAAAAACATGCCAGAAATCCCGATTCTTAATCTCAGTTTGGCGCTAAATAAAATATCTCATTATTGAAGAAATAATTATTTTAGCATAAATAAATTTGTGTGATTAGTAACTTGACTCCATAGCTGCGTATCTGCTTGGCATAATCTCAAACCGAAACATTTGTTAATTTTACACCAACTAATATTTTATATCCTTGATGCCGAAATCGCGAATCATTATTTATTGTATTTTGCTTTCATCACCGCATGTTTATCAACGGATGACAACTTGAGTGATGAATCATGCAGCGATGCCAAATAACAGAGTATTATACGATTACAGATTTAAGTTTAATGCGCTAAAATGTTGACAAGGGGAGATTTAGCAGAAAATTTCTTTCCTTATGCTAAAAATAGATTTTGTTAATGATACTCATAGGACAAACGATTATATTTAGTGCTATTTGAATTAAGAATAACTGATTTGTTATTCACATAAAGCCAGAACCAGCGCCAGAGCTCGCATGGCCGCACCAGGCGGCAGAATTTAGCGAAGTTAAACAGAAGTTTTTCATTGCGATGACAATGCCCAATCATCAATCAATTAACGGAGGGCGAAATCTGTAGTATGGTTCTAAATCCAGAAAATACAGCTACCGATAGTGAAGAAAGTAACAGAGAGGTTACTGAACGAGAAAAAATTTTGATTGACAAGTTATTCGGAATTCTCGACACAGCAATTACAGGACTTGAACAATGGAACTTAATAACTGAACAAGAAATTATATGTCTATAGTATTAGTCTAAAGTATTAGCAGAGAAAACAAATCAAACAACTCACATTGAAAGAAATGTTTAATAAAGTAAACATATAAATATTAAGCTCTTTTCTTTTGTAAATTTTGATACCCTTTAAATCATAAATGCTTCATTATTTCATAAATCACGATTTCATATTTTCAATTTTATAATTTCTACGTGCCATCTTAGTAGATTTAAAATGATCTAATATCCGGAAAAATCTCAAATCTAGGATCGCCGAAGTCCCGACGAGTCCAGACCTCGGACTTTGTACTGTATATAATATATATATATATATATATATAATACGGAATGTATATTTTCAGTTAAACTTCTACCCAATAACTTTAGTAATTCATGAAAGTTAATTTTGCGTCTAGTTAATTCAGGAAAATTAGTTTCAATTAGTTGTTTTCAGCTTTAAAAATATTAAAAAATTTTTAATTAGTTATTTTTAATAATTGTATCGCCATTAAAAATATTTTAAAAAATTTTAATTAGTTATTTTCAACTAATAATTGTATCGCCATTAGCAAAAATTATGCATTACTATCAACAACATAGGTTTAAACCAAATACTTAATTTTGTCTATTGAAGCTTCAAAACATATTTCTGAATATGAGATACAAATTTTAGGTCATAAAATTGATGCTAATGGTTTACATAAAAGTGATGAAAAAATATCAGCCACTGCAAAAGCCCCAAGACCCAGAAACATCCAGGAAATTCAAAGCTTTTTGGGATTGGTTAATTTTTACAGAAAATTTTCCCTGAATTAGTGACAATTACAAATCCTTTATATTATATTATTAACTAAAAATTAACTAAAACTAACTTAACTAACTTATATTAACTAAAAAAAACTCAAAATGGGTTCGAACGAAGGATTGTCAGGAGGCTTTTCTAAACATTTAAAAAGAATTGTGTTCACAAAAACTTTTGATGTATCATGATCCAAAATTACTCTTAATATTAGCAACTGATGCATAACCAGCGGATTTAGGTGCGGTACTTTCTCACATACTTCCTGATGGAACAGAAAGGCCAATTGCATATGCTTCTAGAACACTGACTGAGAGAAGAAGTATTCTCAAACCGATAAAGAAGCTTTATCAATCATTTGGGGAATAATAATAATAATAATAATAAAAATAAAAAAAAAAAATGTACTTAAAAGGCAAAAAATTTACATTAATTACAGATCATAAACCTCTTGTTGCAATTTTCAGCTCAAAGAAAAGCATGCCAATTTTGGTAGCAACAAGACTCCTACATTACGCTTTAGCTTTACAGTCATTCCAATTCGATATCATTTACGGAAAAACAAACAAGCATGGTAATGCTGACTTTCTGTCATGATTGCCGAAGAACTCGGCGCAACTGTCTGTTCAGGATGATGTAACTATTTTTCAATTACAGCAAATTGAAACTCTTCCAATCACAGCCAGAGATTTGGCTAAAGAAACTGAAACTGATGCTGAACTGAGTCCTCTGCTATGAATACTTCAAAGCGGCAGTGAATTGAAAGGAAGGGAGATGGAGTACAGTCTCCAAGATGGCTGTACAAGGTATGGTCAGCGCATTTGTATTCCAAAATGATACCGTGATGTTTTGAAATAGTTGCACTTAGGGACTGTAAAGATGAAAGCAATTGCTAGATTTTACGTATTTTGGAATGGTATAGATAAAGATATCGAACATACTGCTAAAAACTGTTCTGAATGTACAAAACAAAATAGATCCTCCTAAGATAAAAGTTCATCATTAGGAGTACCCGAGCGCTCCAATGGAACGTATTCACATCGATATGCTATTTTTGAGCATGTTTTTGATAATCATCGATGCTCACTCAAAATGGCTATCTAATGAAATCATGCTTGATTTTCAAAACAATAAAATGTTTATGGGACTTTTTTGCACGATTCGGATTACCACTTTTGTTAGTGAGTGATAATGGGCCACAATTCCTGTCACACGAGTTTAAGATATTTCTACAGAGTACCGGAATCAAACACAAAACTACAGCACCATTTAATTTAAACCATCTAGTAATGTGCAGGCTGAACGGTATGTGTTTACAGTAAAACAATCTTTAAGAACAATGCAAAATAATTAGGGAACTTTGACACAAAAACTCAGTACATTTTTTATGCAATATAGGAAAGCTCCAAATTTAACTACTTTACAGAGCCTTGCAATGCTAATGCTGAACAGGGAAATTTGAACAAGAATAGATTTATTGAGACCAGATCTCAAAAGAAGGGTGGAAGACAGAGTTCGAAAAGGAACCTACGAGTTTAGAGGAGATATAGTGGCAGTAAGAAATTATTGACTACAGAGATTTGGAACAGATGCGTGATGGAGGAACCGTAACAGATGAGGGGTTCATACATCCACCTCCAGCTCCCGCAATTTCCAAAGAGCCTGATAAGAGTGGAGTTCCAGAACCATCCAAAGATCACAGCCACCAGGAGATGAGTCTGTGTTGTCCTCCGAGCCCAAGGTTGTACGAGATGTTCCATCTACCAAACCTGTTGCTGATACAACCAGGTTACCAAAGAAACCTGCAGTGCTACAACCTTTGCGTCGGTCGAGTAGAATTCGACGTTCTCAGATAGACTGCAGTTATGATAAAGGGAGAGGGATGTGGTATATCGAGAGCTATTGATGTAGTATATCATAATTGGACTTAAAGCTGATACAGCGGCAAGCATCGAAGCACACGCGATAATAAGAAAATAAATGGAATGCGAATAGCTATAGTGTGTATGCGAGTGATGATATATTTTGTACATATAAATAAAAGTAGCACATAGAGTAAAAGAGTGCGACTTGTGAAATGTTTACCCATGAACCAATACACGGTAGTAATAACAATTCCCCACTGTTGTGATGCTGCATAGTGCAATGAACACTTTGCAGCTGCGTTATTATTTTTTATTTTTTCCACACACACACGAAATCCTTAATGAAATGTTATGCTCAGAAAAATGCTGTGTTTAGCTAGTCTGGTCAAATAACAATTTTCTAGTTTATCCAGATCTCTATTCTCTAAACATTACATGGTTTTATTTGATTTTGGACTGTTCTAAAAAGTCAAATTGCAATTGGAAAAGACTACATTCAGCAGGACATTTTTCAAAACATGACAAGCTGTCTGAACTCCATTTCAAAAGAAACATTACAGAAATGTTTTAATAAAGGGGAAAGAATAATGAAATGTGTACTCTCCCAAACAGCCCATTTTTATGGAAATTTAATTCCATGTAAGTAAATGTACTTTCTCCTACCAAATAATTCTTCTAGTAAACTTCATAAATTTGACATATTTCATCTAATACTACATGTTGAAACACTAAACTTAAAAAGTGAAAACAAAATTTGTATATTAACTAATGCCTTACCATCTGCTCCTCCCTGTAGTCCTTTAATGCCTTGACGATCATAAATCTCTCGTTTTTTAGGATCAGATAACACTTCATATGCAAAAGAAATTTCTTTAAACTAGAAAGCAAAATAAAATAAAAAACTAAATGAAATTACCAAAATTAATAAAAATAAATGTATATAAGAGAATAATATAAATTATGTATAATTTATATTATTCTCTTATATACATTTATTATAATGTATAATAGAGTATAATTTTAATTTTTTTAAAAATTTTGAGCATTACTTTTTCTCCTTCAGTAGGATTTTATCAGGGTGATATTCTTGGCTAATTTTCTATATGCCTAAAAGATTAAAAAAAAAAAAAAAAATCAAACAATATATTTTTTGAAGACTTCTTTTGCAAAACAGGTATTAAAATTTAATAAAATGCAACAACCTTAAAATAAATTCTCAATTAAAATATTAATAAAGAATTTACATTCTGGTTCTTCAAACTTAGTTATGCAGTTGAATATCTTACAATTTAGACAACTGGTATTTGCATAAACTAATAACCATGACCCCAAGAAAAGTACACTTGAAAAGATAAAACTTCCAAAATTTCACTTGGATAAATTTGCAAAACAATTTACCTTCATTCAGTGCAATGCAAAATATTTTTCTATACTTAATGAATGAAGGAAAGCAACATGTTATCTTTTGAAATATGTCTATGAATTTGCTGTGAAATGGTGTCTGAATGTTAGATGAAAAGTTTTGTTGTTAGCTAGTTGATTTCATCTTTTAATATACATAAACCAAATTTATAGTAATGTACAGTTGGAAAGCCATTAAATGACTCATATAAGAAACGATTTTCAAAAAATGTATTGCTGCTAAAGAATTCACGAATGTTGCTGATTTTTGTTGTACTTTTCTAACATTATATCTTTTCAATGGAGTCTCAACTGACTGTTGGCTCAATTAACAGGGACTAGACTGAAACGGACTGTACGACTCGCGACACACAACCTCATAAGGTTATAATGTACTGAACATGTAATAAGAGCTTATCTTATTAAAATTAAAATTATAAAAAAAACTACAATACTCCAATTTAATGCGTTGGGGAACAAATGAATAAAACCTATAACATGGGTGGAAATATAAAAACAGGTAAAAACCTCAATTAATTACATGGATAAAATTAATAAGATGAATGCAAGTATAAAAACAGACAAAATTACAGTACATAAAAAACATTTCTTAAACGCATTGAAAACAATTTAGATTGGATTACATAATCCAGACTCGCAGTAAGAATGATTCGTAACAAAAGCTCGTTTGTTGCCACCGCTGCTACTTGCCTACAGCAATAAGACACTAAAATACCAGAAGTCATAAGCTGTTTAGTTTCATTAGTTGTAGGGAATAAATTTTACATGAATTTTTACATTTTTGTGCTGCATCTTGTGACTACATTAAGGATTAATGAAAAGCAATCACTTATTTTAACATGCAGAATTAAGTCTGAGCAATTAAAAATAATTAAATTAGGAGGTTAGACACCTGTAGTCATTTTTAGATTTACATGGCCACTATTAAGTTTTATTTTCAAAAAATATTTGTTAAAAAAAAAACACTTTTAAAATCACAGTTTAAGAACATTTCTTAGTTTAAAACATTTAATTTATGAGACTGATTCTTAAACAATACAAGGATAATTATACATTATATTTGCCTAACATTTATAGCTTTATTTAATTTTGAGATTTTTTACCGATATTTGGGCGAAAATAAGTACTTTTTTGGATTGTACAAACCCTGCTGTAAATACTTTCGTTTTCTTGACATATTCTGTAGGGCAGAAGTATAATTTTTATTATTATTGTTTTAATTTGATGGCACGAGATTGCCAAACTCATTACCGATTTTACCTAAATGTCGCTCTTAAAATGATTGTAATTTGTATTTGCGCTTATAAGATAAATTCCTTTCATAAAAAAATTAATATTTTAAGCGAAATTAAGATCGCATGTGAAGAAAACTTTAAGAAATTCCATACAGTCTGCAAAACGAAAGTTTCTACAAGTGATCAGCTTTTAGGAGAAGCACATAAAAAATATTTCTCAGTTTCTTACTAATTTTTTTTAAACTATTTAATTCAATAAGGTGGTCCCCTTGAGACCGAAGCAATTGTTCCATGAGAAAATTTAAATACAAGTTCTCCATCAAGGAGTTTTTTATAAAAAAGCCGTCAAGCCAAGTGTCAACCAGCTCAGAACCGTCAGATAAGAAACCAAAGATTGATGAGCAACCACAAGAAACTACTACTAAATATAAGTTTTTTTTTAAGTAAGTGGCTTAAAATTTCCTTGAGTCCTTTTCAATAAAGAGGAAAATACAGTGTTTTGTAAAACATGTCAATCTGCCAATATGAAGAATGGAGTGGGTGTGATGGGTTCATCATGTTTCCATAGAAGTACTCTGTCTCGCCACGAAAAAACTATGGAACAGAGGCTTTCTTTAAATGCCAAGAAAGATGCTAAAGCTCTTGAAAACATCATCAAAAAGGAAAAGTCTACAGCAACAGATGGCAATTTGGCAGTGTTAAAAACTGTTTACACTATTGGAAAAGAACTTCCTTTAACGAAATTTAAGCCTTTAATGATGCTTATGAAATCCTGTAGAAATGAGACTGTGAAAGAGACTCACTTGAACTTACCTCAAAATTCAGTTACAGACATAACTAAAGCTATTTCGGAAGTATTAGAATCAAATTTGGATGAGGATGTTTCACAAAGCCCCTATATTTCTTTAATGATAGATGAGTCAACAGATATTTCAGTTGACTATAAATTAATTATATATGTGAAATATTTGAAAAACAATGAAAGTCAGAACAGTCTTTGGGCAAATTTTAAAACTATCAGGTGAATACAATGCAGATGTTCTGAAATAAATAATAATAAAGTTTCTGAACGAAAAAAGTACCGTTATTCAAAGATGTTGGCCTTTCAACAGATGGTGCTACTGTTATTAGGTTCATTGTATGCTTATTTTCACATGTCCAATATTAGGACTGAAAAGCTGAAATTGATGCAAGATGTGTTAAACGAGACAAACATAACTCTCAAAGACATAAATGCTGTTCAGTGGTTGTCACTTGGGAATGCAGTTGATGCATGTCATATCAGTTATGATGCTGTGATCCTTGCCTTGACAGACATAACTGCAAACAGAAAAACAAGCAATCCTATGAACAAGGGCTCAGAATTACTTAAACAATGCTCACAATTTTCATTTGCAGCCACCTTGTCATTTTTGAGAGATGTGTTACTGATTATGAACAAAGTGAGTAGAATTTTTCAGAGCAATGATGTGGACTCCGTGTTGGTTAATAGTCTAGAATCAACTATTAATCGCATGCAGGAAATGAAAAAGGAGGAAGGTCATGGCACTCATCTAAAGGAATTTTTAGAGTCTGCTCTTAATAATGGGTATTATCGAGTTCAAGATATTAAATTACCTGTTTCTACTAAATCTTTAAATGATTTCATGAGTGCTAAAAATGCTTTCTTTGAGTGCACTGATAGAGAATCTGCAAGAAAGATTTAATTTGCAGCAGATTCATCTTTTACAGGATTTTGATATTTTGTTGAATCCCTCGTGTCTCAACAACAGAATCATCAAGATTCCGAGTCCCTCGATAATGTTATTAAACATTATCATAGGCCAGATTCTACTTCGGTTTTGGGTGTTTCAGCAGAAGAGTTAAAGCCAGAGCACCTTGAAGTAGAGTGTTTTTATGCATGCTACAGAGAATTCAAATTTAAACAGTTTGCCAATTTGTTGTTCTCATCAAGTTTAGATGTGAATTCTTATATCCAGGATTTACAGCCCTGACACAAATAGCTATGACTATACCTTTGTCAACGGCTGTTTGTGAAAGAGAATTTTCTCCTAAAAATAGGATCAAATTAAATAGGAGAAGTAGATTGGGGGAAAAACAACTGGAAATTCTAACGAGAAATCTGAGCCAAAGAACAAAGGGGGAAATGTTTTTTTTTTGTGATTTTAATTTTGAAAGAGCAGTAACCTTGTGAAAAACATCAGAGGAAAAGAAGATTAGAATTGTAATGTAACCAAGAAAAATGTTTTTGTGACTTTAATTTTGAAAGAGCTGTGATATAGTAAGGAAATCAGGGGGAAAAGAGATTAAAATTGTAATGTAACCAAGCATAAATGTTTTTTGTAACTTTAATTTTGAAAGAGTTTTGATATTGTAAGGAAATCAGCTGTAACATTGTATAAAATCAGAGGAAAAGGATATTAAATTTGTAATATTAAATATTTCATTTAGAACATTTTAATGTAAAATAAATTATTTTATTTATAATGTTTAATATTTTCTATTAATACTTAACATATGCTATAATTGCCAAAACCCAAAATAGCATCCTCATTTTTTTTCTATTTCATTTCGTCCATTAAAAAAGGTGTTTTTTATAGAAAATTTGTCTCTGTATATATAGTTTATGCTATTTACGTATTTCACTCCCCCTAAAAAAGCCAAGGAGTATTTTTACTCTTCCAAAAAAATCCTAGGAATAACACTGATCATACCTAAAGGAAAAGCATTTAAAAATATCAAATAGATCCTGGGAAGCAGATAAAACTTCCAAGCTACAAATTTACAGAGTTCTTATTTGCTCCAAACTCGATTATGGATCAGAGGCCTATGGATTTACCTTCTGTGGTAAAGAAGCTTGATCCTGTTCATCCCCAAGCAGAACATCTCCTGTGCAGAGTTTGTATGTAAAACGTTTCGAGCCACCCCTTCAGACGTGAGCAATTGTCTCTTCAATTATTAATTAAAAACTGTTTCGCATGCTGATCATCCAGCCAACCACTTAGTGCTTAGTAGCCAGTTTTATTTGTTCTCCCAAGTGTACGTTCTTGTATTCCTGCTTTTGGATTACACGTTTGACAGTGGTTGCAAGAACATGACTTGGAAGAGGTGAAAGTTCATGCAGTAAAGTATTTGGAAATACCTCCTTAGAAAGATGCTCACATTGAGCTTCTTAACATTTTCCAGTTTAGCTAATGTTGTGTAAAAGCAAATTTTCCATCAACATACACAGATTTACTATGACTATGTTGTAGTGTATACAGATGGATCAAAATCCCAGGATCATCTTGGCTCTGCCTTTGTGTGCGAGAATACTACTGAGGGAAGAAAACTTCATCTCGCTTGTACCATCTTTATTACAGAGACATTACTCTGCTATTAGTAACGTAGGAAAAATTTCATTATTTACACAGACTCACTTAAGTGTGCTAAAAGCTCTCGAATCATATG